CCATTTCATCACAAATAACGCTACATTAATGACAGACTTGAAATATATTTGAAATGAAATTTATATTCAGCCATGTTCTTATAATCATAAATATTTTTAATATATTTAGAATTAAATACTACTAATTTAATATTTTGATATTAAAATGTTTTAACATAATGAATAAATACGCATAAAAAAAGTTAATATGTAAATAAAACTCGTAAACTAGATGTCTCTTTAAAATAAAAGTTAAAACTGTAATGAACATCCATCAGATTTTATTCAATTATTTTCAACTGCAAGATCAAACCCATCATGGGATGATCTGATTTGCCAGGCTGTCTGAGAACATTACTTAGCATCACCATCCAACAATCAGTAGTCAATCAAAAAGTTATAATTGGAAATGTTTTAAAATGAAGAAATATTAAAAGTTGTACAAATCACATTTTGAAAATAGCGGAATGTTCTTAAAAAGCATGAGTTTAAATAGTTTTCATTCAATTCTAAGCATTCCTTCATTCAAAATAATTATCTTTTCAACATTCTCTAGAAGCATCATCAACAAAGACAGTTTGTTGCATAAATTTTACGTTGGAAAAGAAAATATTTGGTGGAAAATATTCATCTACCCTACATAGAATACTATAATAGTTAGTTATTTGATACGTACATACGTATGTATTTCTAAGACAGATATACATTTATATGCATATAATAGTTGTTGCGGCTTAATTAATCTAAGAAAGTAAAATATATGATATGAGTGATCATTACAAGCATGCTGCTTACGCGTTACGCTTCACCATCATTCTGCAGTAGGTGACGGTGGGAGAGTAACCGTAACTGAATTGTTGCGAGCCATACACGTGATTGAGGTTTTGACAATAACACCAATTGAACCAGTTTCCTGCTGAATGCTCCAGGGCACAATTGGTTGATGCCACGTCGTTATCCTGATCTGGAGTTGAAAACTTCATCCCATTTTGGCGGTTGGACGGGTAGTTCAAAACGTCCCAATAATCTCCAATGTAGCCCGAGACGAAGAGGGAGTATTTTTCCAGTTCTGAATTGATCTGGATTGTTTAATCTCTGGATTGTTTCTTATAATTAGAAATTTAAATTTTTAATTTTTATGAAATTTTTATTAACTTTGATTAATATAAACTCTAGCTGTTGGCGAATCAAAAAAATAGTTGAAGGATAAAGGTCAATTACACTCTTCCGAATTTCAGAGGATTTAGCAACACGCCACAAACATCGTATATGAATGCATGCCAAACGACGTATCGCCCACGATGCATGTGATAGGCGGGAATCTTTTTGTCATATTCGAACCCGGTTACTGCAAAACAGCACCAGGCGACCTTAACCAGTGGGCCATCACGCCACACGCAGTTATTTGATACGGTATAGTATTTGAAAAATATAGAGAAAAAGATCAGTTAAACCGAATAAAAATGTGAACGTGCATTCTAATTTTTTATTTAAATAAGAATTTTTTTAAATGTTGTTCATGGAATTCTAAAAATTTTTGTTTTGGCAAATTGACCAACCGTGAAATGATCATATTCATCAGAGTGCCAAACACCGTTGATGAGCACTTCAAATCTCAACCTGTAATCAGCCCATGTCGTTAACCGATGCATCTTCTCCAAACCAAACCAGAAGTTTTTGTTGTAGATTCCAAATCCAGTCTGTCAAATTTTAATTTGAAATCATTTGGAAAACATAAAAACGGTCTGACTAATTCAAAATGTATACAAATCTCACAAACATCTTTTTGACGACATAAACAATAATTTACCTTGTACGTGTTCCAATTTTGGTTGAAACTTTGCGAGCCATCAATCCTCTGCTGAATGACAATCCATCCATTGACAGACGTGACAGGAGTTGAGTTGGCAAACGTTGGAATGTTCAACAGGATTGTTTCATTGGCAGCGCTGTAGGCTGTTTTATATGACAACTAAAATTATTCTCCCAAACCAGAACAAATAGTCTTCAACACGAACGCGTCATATCATAACAAACCTTGAGGATCAAGACAGATAGACAACTGCCTGTTATCAGTGAGACACATGTAGAGAGCACAAGGATTGCTGATGTCAGGCAGTGAGTTGGAACAAGAGTAGAACAATCCACCGTTGAAGGTGAATGGGAAGTTGCAGGATTTGCTCAGGGTCGTACTGTTTACTTTTAAGAAATATGTATCAGGTTAATTAAATCGCAAAAGTTTTGTTTATCTTTTTTCATCTTACAATTTAAATATTTCAACTGTGTTTCCATACTTCAAAAACTTTGTAAGCTCTTTTTTATGTTTTATAAATTGAAGGAGGGAGGTGCATATTCTAATTGGTGAAGTATTTTTTTAATTAAAAAGAAACAATCAAACTTACAGATCGCATGAGTGAGATTGCGTGTGGACGCTGCATGAATTATGAATACTAATGAATTATCATAAATTATTGTGAAAAGATAGATTACAAATAAAAATAAATTAATCAGATGATAATTAACTAATTAATTAACATCTAAATGATTTATTCTTTAAATAAAAAAAAATGGACCAACCTAAAGCATCTCTGGCGGCAACATCCTACATTTGAAAACTCAAAAATTTAATAAATTTTAAAATTAAAAGTTCATCTCCGGCAAATATTTCATCTTTTATAAATAAAAAAAAAATAAAAAATAAACTGGCCTCATAAGCTTGACAGCGTGTTTTATTCAGAGCAATCTTGTAATGAACATCGCAAGTGAAATGAAACAGTTGGCAGTACTTAGCTGGATGACTAGCATTGTTGGATACGTAGTTGAATGCGTTGCAAGTGATGTTACCATTAGTTGGAGAAACATAATGAGAACATTTGGTAGAACATTCCAGTAAGGATCGTATGTTGGTTAGGACTGTGGTAGGTTCGGAAGAAAAACACATGGGATTGTCTGGCTCTCCTATCATTCCATACTTCTTATCAACTGCTGATGCATGTTTAACGGCTGCTAATGTCATCAAAAGGACTGCAATCAATAACATTTTCAATTTTCCGAATGCTCTTTAAATTCCAAAGAACATTTATCACGTTAGTTTATTAAATAAAAGTAACAGAACTGAAATCATAATGCTTCTTTATTGAGAATTTATTTCGAAATTCATTTAACAAACAGCCAAATTTCTTCCAAATGTTAAAATTGTAAGAAACATTTACATCACTAATGATATTTTCATGTCAAAAATATCTGCAAACATTTTACATTGTTGCCTGCTTTTTACTATACTGAATAGCTTGCCTGTCATAGTCTAATTGTCTTATAAATGTAAACATTTTCTGCTAATGTTTGGTCAGTATTAGCTCTATTCATTATTCAAGAGGTAATTTTCCTAGACCATGTGTGTGTGTGTGTGTAAAACATTTTTTTTCACACACAACTCACAAATTGACAAACACATAAACACACACACACATATACACACACACACATAAACACAAACACACATTCACGCATATACCCACTTTACTAATACTGCATTCGATTTCTGTGATATATGTTTTCAGTTAATCATATTTTCAAGATAGATTTGCTATCTATCTATTGCATCGTAATTAGAAAAAAAATATGAAAATTTTCCGTTTCAAAGTACAAAGTTCCCAAAAGTGCCCATCATGGACGACTGATTCTTTGGTACTTTTGTTTGTTGAAAGCGGAGAAACATGGAGAGGGAGAGAGAAAAACATAAAATGAAGAGAAAGAGAGTGAGAAAAAGAGAAAAAAATGAAAGAGACACTCGACGGATGACTTGAGTCTTATCGAATGTTTTTTGGTTTTGTGTGTTGTTGTGCTGTTATGTTTCCAGGTACATTTGATTTTAAACATAGAGAGAAAAAGAGAAAGGGAGAGAGGGAAAGAGAGAGAAACTCTACAAATGGCTCTGAGTTTCATGAAATATGTTTAGTTTCGTGTTTGTTGTTGATGTTGTTTCCACTTACCAGGAGTGTTTGTTATACAGGTGTAAAAAAAATTTTATTTCAAAATTTTTATATCCGACTGACGTGATGAATAATTGAGTGGCAGGTTCGTTCGGCGCGTTTCAATAAGAAGTTTGCACTTGAACAGTTGGAAGTTAATTGAGTTGGAAGTTAATTGAGTTGGAAGTTAATTGGGTTGGAAGTTAATTGGGTTGGAAGTTAATTGAGTTGGAAGTTAATTGAGTTGGAAGTTAATTGGGTTGGAAGTTAATTGAGCTGGAAGTTAATTGAGTTGGAAGTTAATTGAGTTGGAAGTTAATTGGGTTGGAAGTTAATTGAGTTGGAAGTTAATTGAGTTGGAAGTTAATTGGGTTGGAAGTTAATTGGGTTGGAAGTTAATTAAGTTGGAAGTTAATTGAGTTGGAAGTTAATTGGGTTGGAAGTTAAATGAGCAATTATCGTTGAGGTGACTTGGTGTTGGCGCGGTTTGATGACGTCGATACCGCTGATTAATAATCAAGAAATAATTGTAATGGGCAAATAGTGACAACATTACATTAGGATTGAACTATTATAAACGCCATGACTATCGGTAATTTTAAACTATATAATATTTAAAATCTTTTAGAATTAAGTACTTTTACTGAACAAAACAAAAATAGATAAAATGATTTAAAAAGTTCACCTTAATATGAAAAATTAGCTTAGCATAAATTTACTACGATAGCAAATTTATTCTTTCAAGACACGTACACACACGTACACACACGTACACACACGTACACACACACAACACAACACAGACAGACACGCACAAAACAAAAAACAAGATGAGAAATAAAATTACATACTACGGCAATGCTTTGGGTAAAATTGAAACTTTTAAAATAAAAACGCAGTTGAAGACATGTTCATCTGATCACTATTATCATTACTATTACTAATAAGAGTAGTGTTACTGCTGCATTACTGATACTGATACTAATACTACACTAGTAAAAATAGTAAGATACTAGTAACATGGACAACATCAAAAACATTTTTACCTTTGAAATAAGCAAACAATCGCCTTTACAATTTGCTGAGTTTCAAAGGTTTTCAAACGTTGTGACGAAATGAATAATTGAAATGGTTCATTTAGTGCAATTAAAAAGTTATTTTATTTAATTAACAGATTATTGATATCCTAATGGTGCGTGTTCGGCTTAGCGGAGACAAGGTTCGACTGCCAAGATATACCGGATATTTTTTTTTGTAGTAGTATTAGTATTTGATTAAAAACGAATCATAGTATATTTTTGAGTAGTATTCACTTATTAATTCATAATGTAACGACAACTTAGTTGTTTTTCTTTCATTTTTTTCAACAGAAAAATACTTTTTATTGCAGCTAAACATTTTATTCAATGAAAATTCGTATTCAAACGTTACAGCAATGAAGTTTGCTTCAAAATGTTGGTGTAATGGTTAAGGCGCCTGGTCCTGCTGTTGCGGTGACCGCCTTCAAATGCAAGAAGATTCTCCGCCTATCATCACATGCATCATGTGCGTGTGTGTACGTGCGTGTGGGTACGTGTTTGTGTGTGTGTTGTTGAGACATCTTGAAAATATTTATGAGCGAGTTAAAAATATTATTAAACTACTGATAATAAAGCAAAAACACGTCACAATGATGACGATCGTAAAATATTTGAAATTATTTATATTAAGCAATGTTCTTATAATGAGAAATGTTTCAAAAATGTTTATAATTAAATGCTAAAGATATAATATAATGATATTAAAATGTTTCGATCTAATGAATATACATTAATTACAGAATCACATTAAATACTGAATCACATTAATTACAGAATCACATTAAATACTGAATCACATTAATTACAGAAACACATTAATTACTGAATCACATTAATTACAGAATCACATTAATTACTGAATCACATTAAATACTGAGTCACATTAATTACAGAATCACATTAAATACTGAGTCACATTAATTACCGAATCACATTAATTACTGAATCACATTAATTATTGAATCAAATTAATTACTCAATCGCATAAATTACTCAATCACATTAATTACTCAATCACATTAATTACTCAATCACATTAATTACTCAATCACATTAATTACTCAATCACATTAATTACTCAATCACATTGATTACTGAAAGCATCTAAACATAAATATTAATCGTCTTCGTTCCATTTTTGTATTCTCATTAAGTTTAAATGAAATAAAAAGTTAAAAGTTGCACAACTTTTTCGCTGAGAGAAGCAGTGTTGAAATCGGAGTCGGTCGAAATCGGAAAATTTTGCCTGACTTTTCATCCGACCCCAGAAAGGGTTAAAAGTTTCAAAAAATGTAAAACTGATTCGCAACTGTTAGTGATGCAAAGAAACTCGACAACTATGAAGCTTGCCAATTATACAACTTGCTAATTATAAAACCTCCTGCCTTGCAACTCAGCAAACTACAACGTTATTTTCTGCTCAGCCACGATAATGCAAAAATTTGATATTACCTTTCATTATATTTTAAACAATTAATATAGAAAAATTTCACTGAAAAAACAATTACACCGACTGATTTTCATTGAGCAGTTAGTGAAAGATGATATCTAAAGTAAAACTGTGAAGCAAAATTTTAAAAAATGTTCAGAGAGTTGGAACCAGTGTCAGGAGTGTGAGGATGATGAATGAAGGAGTCGCAGTTGACTCGCACACCCTCAAACACCACACAGGTTGCACAAATTTCACGGTGGAAAAGCATGGTTGCTATAAAAAGTTTGCTACTGCACGAATCGATGGTTAACTGTTGAATAGATTCACAGATGTAAAGCTTGCACGAAATATTCGAAATAATTTGAAGGATCTAAAAAAGTAGGATATATGAGATGAATAATCGTAAGAAACATGCCCCTCACACGTTACGCTTCATCATCATCCGGCTGTAGGTGAGGGGAAATGATGTATAAAAGAACCTAATTGTACCATACAGGACATTCACATTTTGATAAATTTAATCCAAACAACTTCAACCTTCAAAAGATGGGGAAAATCATCCACTGCACAATGTCCTCTATGCAGTGATTGCCAAACAAACAAACACGTTTTATCGAATTGTGGCGCGGCGTCGGCGCTGAAGCGATTTTCAACACGTTACAACAAATTCTCTCAATAATATCAGACAGGTTGAAATCATGCGCAGGCCCTGATGTCTCCATATATGCAGACGCGGATCAAGATAAATATCAGCCACTATCCTGCCTCTTCAAGACGCTACGTCCCGACCTCGCATTGCTTTGCGATAGCAACATTGAAATCCTGGAGCTCACGGTTTGCCAATGAAACAAACTTTATGAAATCAAAGGACTATAAAATGGCGAAGTACTCCCATAATTTGCAAAATAATTTGACCGATAGTTATAAACACTCTAACGTTATAATTATTACATTTGAAATATTCCCTTTAAGTTGTTTTAATACTTTTGATTTGTTTCTCATTATTTTAATATGGACTGATGAATTTATCGACAGCCTTATTTATGCAGCAATTTTGTTGTCATATAGTATTTACTGTGATAGAAATGCAAATTAAATGAACCATTTTAGATTAATCAGCTCTCGCGGTAATCATTCATTTCATAAGATGACGAGCTTCGGAGATTATTTTATGACATTTTACCATATACATATATTTTTTGAATTTTGATTATCATTGACAATTATTGTTTCTTTCATTTTCATCTATGTTTTTAAGATGAAAATAAAAAGGCGTTCCCATTATTATTATTATTGGAGATAGTAGTATTAGTAGCAGTAGTAGTAGTAATACTACTACTTGGCTGATTACAAAAAAACTTCATTTAAATGCTAATAAAGCTAATAAAATTTTGTCAGGACATGAAGAAGTAACAAATAGACTAGATTATTCAAATATATTAACTGTTATAATTTACCATTATGAAGGGCTAAACTACTTGGTCCGGTTATTTCGATTTTAAAGTGGTGGAATACATTGCAAAATGACTTAAGATCTGCATAATCTTTTAGACATTATAGATATTTGGTTTGTAATTACGTAATAAATAGAATTATACGATTGAACTTTTATATAATAATTCTTGTTTGATCCCGTTTGAAACCCATTGCGCGCCCAACAAGCCAAGGCTTTGAGTTATGTCTTTAAATAAATAAATAAAAATGAATAGTAATATAATCAGCAGTGGTAGTACTGCTTAATCTTTTAAACATTATAAATATTTGGTTTGTAATTACGTAACAGGTAGAACTGCATGACCAAATTTTTCTATAATAATTCTTGTTTGATCCCGTTTGAAACAAATGGAACTATATGATTCAATTTCTGTTCGATTTTAATTTTTATAAGTTATGTTCTATTGCGTGCCCAACAAACTAAGGCTCTAGGTTATGTCTTTAAATAAATAAATCAAAATAAATCGTAATATGAACTGCAATAGTAGTAGTAGTAGTAGTAGTAGTACTAGTAGTTGTTGTTGTAGTATTAGTAGTAATAGTGTTAGTAATAGTAGTAGTGATAGTAGTAATGTAAGTAGTATTGATATTACTATTATTTAATTTCCATATAATTGTTAAAAAAATAATCTTTGTTAATTTTCAGAGGTGTCAATAAAACACTCGAACAAACAAGGCACGTGAACACACGTGAATGAAGGCATCAACTACAAGATGCATGTGGTGGTCAGGGATCTGTCTGCGTTCGAACCTGGTCACCGCAATAGCAGGACCAAGAACCATCCCGCTCCATTCGATTTGTGGAAATTTAAAAAAAATTCAAACATTAAATAATAAATTTTGAAATATATTCAGTAGAAAAAATAACGGTGTATATGTGGTTATGAGATTTATTTGATGAAACAATATCTTCAAATTAATTCTGGAATATAACATAAATGCAAAATAAAAAAAACCTTGAAATGATCATATTCATCGGAGTACCATTTACCACTGATAAGAATTTCAAGTCTCAACCTATAATCAGCCGATGTCGTTAACTGGTGCATCTTCTCCAAGCCCAACCAGAAGTTTCTGTAGTAGATTCCAAATCCGGACTGCAGAAAATAACATTTTTAGCACGAGAAGTTCAAATCATATCCAGCGCATACCTTGTACGTGCTCCAAGTTTGGTTGAAACTCTGCGAGCCATCAATCCTCTGCTGAATGACAATCCATCCATTGACAGACGTGACAGGAGTTGAGTTGGCAAACGTTGGAATGTACAACGAAACTGTTTTGTTAACAGCGCTGTAGGCTGTTTCGAATTATAAATAAAAACATTTTTATTTGGGTGAAATCAAATGTTCCCGTCATTAAATGCTACAATTCTTAAGAAATATATCTGACAAATTGTAACCAATGATTCTTATGAATGATGAAATGTATCAAAAACCTTGATCACCAAGACAGATGGACAACTGCCTGTCAGCAGTGAGACACATGTAGAGAGCACAAGGATTGCTGATGCCAGGTAGTGAGTTGGAACAAGAGTAGAAAAACCCACCGTTGAAGATGAATGGGAAGTTGCAGGATTTGCTCGGGGTCAGGAAGGTAATGGTCGCTTTTTCAAAATAATTAGTAAAATTTAAAAAAATAAATTACAATTATTAAAATAACATTTAAATATTTTAAGCTTGATCGTTCATTACTCGAAACAAACCAACAAACCAAAACTTTCAAATAGGAAGAATACGAATGATCTTTAGCAGAGAGCAAAATAATTGTAATAAAAATTTTGATTTTAAGCAAAACGAAACATTTCATCTCATCTATTGCCAGTTGAGCTTCGTCATCCTGCATTTATAATTCAAAACATTTACAAAAATCAAAAAGTTTCATATCAATAATTTTACGTGTGAAGAATTTATGATCAGAAGTTGATTTTTGCTGAAAAAAAAACAACAAACTACTAACCTTATAACCCCGGCAATGAGTTTTATTCAGAACAATTTTGTGATGAACATCGCAAGTGAAATGAAACAGTTGGCAATATTTAGCTGGATGACTAGCATTGTTGGATATGTAGTTGAATGCGTTGCAAATGATGTTACCATCGGTGGGAGAAACATAAAGAGAACATTTGGTAGAACATTCCAGTAAGGATCGTATGTTGGTTAGTACTGCGGTTGGTTGGGAAACAAAACACATGGGATTGTCTGGCTCTCCCACCATTCCATACTTCTTATCAGCTGCTGCACCTGCTGATACTAACAAGTTGACTGATAAGGTCAAAGTAACAAAGGTTTGAAAAATACAAACGAAATCATTTTATAAAAAATTTAAAATTGTCGAAAGATTGTTCGAACTTAATTCAATTTTGACTACTTAATAGAAGGTTGTTTTGTTGTTAGCACAACACCGTAACGAGGCACGTCAACAAATCTTCCAACATAATCTATTTAAACTACACTTGCAAGCCACGTCATCGTCATATCTCCAGCCGCCATTGATTAGTTTCTTATGAATAATTGAACACCATCCTTGGAGACAGGGCTCGCTTCTTCAAGAAGTTGCTCATCTTCAAGTCACCTGACAAATCTCATTTGCAGGACAGCGGTAATATAGTGAAAATAATAACTACATATATTTTTTTCTTCAAATTACATGGTATATTAACAGGTATGTGTATGCCTTTCTTCCTTCTTCTCTTACTTTCATTCTCTCTCTCTCATTCTCTCTCTCTCTCTCTACGTATATACATTTTAAAATTTGTATTTATATATTGTACATATACAAATTCAAGTGTATTAAAATATGTATTTGTGTGCATGTTCATGCAGGTGACAGCATAGTTAGAGGGCAGAGAGACCGGCTTCAACTGCATCCAGATTCCCATTTATGCGTTTGATGCGTGCGTGTTAGTTTGCGCTCGGCAAGTAGAGCACTGAGGTTGAAATAGTTACTTATCGCATTGGGACATAGTCATATTTTCCTGTTTCTTTCCAATGTGTTTGGATTTGTTGTCATAAATTAACTAAACACTTGAGATGTTTCAAATTTTTTAAAAATAGTACTTTGTATTAACGTTTGATTAGTTATTTGGTAAAAATTGTATCATTAAAATTTTAGGGTGCATGGGTATAAGTTTCTAGTGCATATAAATCGACAATAGATTAAAATTAAAAATTTTCAAAAAACTGAATTGAGATTAAATATAATAAAATCATAATTGCAAGTTAGTTTTGTACTGCTTTTGACTAGAGTTACATGTTAAATTAACGCGCATGTTTAGGTGATTCAATTCAATTTGATCATCATTCTGCAGTAGGTCACTGGACTCCAATCAAATTTCGCCGTCCTGTACATGTACTTATCTCCATAGACTGCAAAAACGTTAGCAGTGTGGCAATAATTAAACCAGTTTCCAGAAAAGTGATCGGTACATCTAGTACCGTGATCAGCAGTAGCAAATCCTATTCCATTTTGAAAATGCCCACCTCCTCTATCCTGATTTAAAACATCCCAGTTGTCACCGCTGTAGCCCAAAACATGAATTGCGTAATCGTTTGCTTCAGAGTCAAGCTAGAACATAAAACAATCGGAATTGACTGAAGGCTAAATTGATGAAATTAACTATGAATGTAGAAAGGAAATCTTACGCTAAAGCTGTCATATTCATCTGACATCCATGATCCATTAACGAGGACTTCGAATCTCAATCTGTAGTTGGCGGATTTGGTCAGTTGGTACACATTTTCAAGCCCTAACCAGAAATTAACGTTGTACGTTCCAAACCCCGCCTAGAAAATTATTATAATGATTGCAAATTTATAAGAAAATATTATCAAAAATTAATTATTTCCTCGTAACAAATTCAAATAATTATTTCAAATTAATTGCGACAGATTCTTAAAATCATTTGATTATTATTTCATATAAATATGTGGATATAATTTTGAAAAAGCTAATAAAAATTGAGACTTGTGCTACGAAAATAACCACATTACCTTGTAAGTTGCCCAGTTTCGATAAAAGCTCTGGTCGCCATTAACTCTTTGCACAATGACGATCCACCCGTTGACAGACAGAACTGTTGGGGGCAATCCAGAATTTGGAATTGAGAGTTTGGTGGTTGTGTTGGTCGCAGTGAAATCTGTATTGGCGTTTGTGTGAAAATTTAATTTATTTGTGGTGATTAACGATGTAGGTGAGCTTATTTGCTTTAGGTAACTTTTTGGTTAAACGCTTTCACAAGATCTACATTTCTTACCTATTTTTACATCAATTTTTGATAGTTTAGCATAGTACAAGCTAGAGTAAAACGTACGTACCACGTACCACAGCCATTTATAAAACAAAAGTTCAAACTTTGACTAAGATCACTTAAAATTTTGTAAAATAATAAACAGTTTTTAACTGCGTACCGAACGGATTTTGGCAAATGGCTAAGATCCTGTTTTCAGTGATGCACATGGGAGATCCGTGAGAATTGCAAAATCCGGGCAGTTGGTTGGAGCAAGCATAGAACAATCCACCGTTGTATGTGAATGGGAAGTTGCATTTCGAACTGTTGATGTTGACATATAGAGGCTCTGTTTCAATGAAATGTTAGTATATAACATATTAAAACGGAATATAGGCCTGTTACGTATTAGCGCGTTGGTGTAATGGTTATGATGCCTGTTACTGATGTCGCGGTGACCGAGTTTGAATGCAAGCAGATTCCCGGCTATCACATGCAATGTTTCTGGTGGGTTAATGCTATTCAACCTTCTTTTTTGTTGCAGACTTTTCTGAAAAATTCAAAAGTAAAAAATAATAATTGTAATAACGAATTGGTACTTTATCAGGTAAACTTTATAATGAGTTATTGGATTTTGTAGAATAATTTGTAATATCATACTAACTCATAAGCTCCTTTGCATCAACATCCTATGATACGAACAAAATCTTTCATTATTAAAATTATGAAATAATTGAAAATAAATAAAAAAAAAATAGGCTGAAAATAATATTAATTGATCAAAATAGAACAAAACGAAATAAAATATTGACAAAAAATCCATCAAAACTAGTAACCTCAAAGCCAACACAATAACTTCTTCCATAAGTTTTCTCACACAGGTACCCAAACAACTGACACGTCTTATTATTCTTATGGCCGGCATCAACGATCAAATTAAACTCCGTACAAACATTACTGCTATTATATTTCCCAAAATTAAATTGCGAGCATCTGAGTGAACACTCAACGAGTGATCGGATGTTGTTGAGTTCCTGGATGAGCCCAGTCGTGAAGCAGATGGAATTGCCACTTGCATCCTTATGGGAATGGTAATTTTTGTCTGGTAGGCTCACCAGCGAAGTTGAAAATGCGGGTGATATTGTTAGCAAAAAAATTATCACAAAAATATACATTGTTTTGTTATTTTAAGTTTTTATGAAATAAAATTTTCGAGTAGATGATTTTGCTCTAAAATTTTTTTGACGGGTTAATCTTTAGAGATTAAATTAGTCATTTTTTTGTTGGTTAGATGATCTCATTAAATTTAAATGAGAATTTTGTATAAATATTTTCACACTAAAATTAAATAAAAATCTCTCAGGTCTCAACAATCTAGTTAACAGTTTTTGCACCACAATTAGGGTTTACCCGTACATGCCTTTTATTATATTGCCAGCACCAGATGACACATTCTCGCACCAATTCTAAAATCATTTCCTCTAAATGAAAAGCACCCATCCACTTCTCAATTTATCTAAAATTTCAGTAAACAGAGGGTCGCCATACCAACGCCGCTCATTGGTTCTTCAGTTGCTCCTCTAACCAATTACGAACGAGTTGCTATTTTTACGATGGGGTAAATCTTTTTTCTTTCAATTGAAAATCACGCCACTTAAAATGATTTTTTTCAAAATCAAAATTCCAACCAAAATTGAAAGTTTCACGTGAAATTATTTGAAATAGAAAATACTTAATCTTAAATAGTGAATGCACACGTCATTAAAAGTTTTTTCACCTTGGGTATGTTTTGTTTTTCTTTGTTTTGTATCTAGGTATGTTGTTTGTTTTTATTTGTTGTTTGTATCTAGATTTGTCGTTCGTTTTATTTGTATGTTTGTTTGAAACTCGTTCGCATGTGGCACTCAGCAAATGCACGGCGATGAGTGGTTGATGCGACAATAACGCGATAAAGTAACGAGATATGCTACTCTGTTTTGCAATCTGACTACTTCTGGAAAAAACTAAGTAATTGGTAGTTTTTAGAACTTGAAAAAGTTTGTAGAAATACTAATTTGACTACCTTCAAATCTGGGTAATTAGTTAGTATAAACTTTTTACTTGCATAAAATTGCTTCGTTAGTAGTTATTGTAATCTGATTGCTTAGAAATGTAAATTGTTACCAAAATCTACTCAGATTGCTGTTTAAAATTAGTAGTTTTAGTTACAAGATAAAGTATTTCAATTAGTAATTAACATAGTTTACTATTTTTGGAAGTTACAAATTGAAGATTACCCATTTTGTATCTATGGATTCTTCATATGATTGATTGTACACTGAGAAAATCTTATTCCAACCGAACGCATACTATCATCTATTATTTATTTTATTATGTTTCAACTTTGTAAAAAGTGTCCACTTTACATAGAAAATAATACAGTTAAATGATCATTGGGTAAATCTGAACGAAACGAAACGAAATATATTTTCTTGCCGAAATTGAGAGTAAGAATTGAAATAAAGCACCTATGACGTGAAAGTTAACATCCATCGAAGTATTAAGATTGAATTTAGTAAGATTTCATGGCAATGAGTCACTAAATTGTAGTAACTGATTACTATTATCAAGTATCGGTAATATTTGTGCTGAAAGATTTTAAAAATACTTTTCAGATAGAGTATAAAAAGTAACAGCACATCCCTACAAGCAATGTGCGTCATAAAATAATAAAATAATAAAATAATAAAATAACAAATATCGCCATACTCCAGTCAAAACGTATTGTTTCGAGATTTAATTGTCTAACCAAATTTTTAAATTTTGACGAGATGAATAATTTAGCCGGTTGAATGAGTGTGAAAATATGAAAATTTTCCGTTTCAAAGCACAAAGTTCCCAAAAGTGCCCATCATGGACGACTGATTCTTTGGTACTTCAGAGGTATACAGAGGGTTTACGAGCTGGTGAAGTGGTTAAAATGTCTGACATTGCTGTCGCAGTGACCAGGTTTAAATGCCAAAAGATTCCAGCCTATGAACAACTAGGGACTTTGAGTTTCTTTGAAAAATTTTGGTTTTGTTTGTTGTTGTGTTGTTTGAAAGCGGAGAAACATGGAGAGGGAGAGAGAAAAACATAAAATGAAGAGAAAGAGAGTGAGAAAAAGAGATAAAAATGAAAGAGACACTCGACGGATGACTTGAGTCTTATCGAATGTTTTTTGGTTTTGTGTGTTGTTGTGCTGTGATGTTTCAAGGTACATTTGATTTTAAACATAGAGAGAAAAAGAGAAAGGGAGAGAGGGAAAGAGAGAGAAACTCTACAAATGGCTCTGAGTTTCATGAAATATGTTTAGTTTCGTGTTTGTTGTTGATGTTGTTTCCACTTACCAGGAGTGTTTGTTATACAGGTGTAAAAAAATTTTTATTTCAAAATTTTTATATCCGACTGACGTGATGAATAATTGAGTGGCAGGTTCGTTCGGCGCGTTTCAATAAGAAGTTTGCACTTGAACAGTTGGAAGTTAATTGAGTTGGAAGTTAATTGAGTTGGAAGTTAATTGGGTTGGAAGTTAATTGAGTTGGAAGTTAATTGAGCTGGAAGTTAATTGAGTTGGAAGTTAATTGAGCAATTATCGTTGAGGTTACTTTGATGTCGTCGATACCGCTGGTAAATAATCAAGAAATAATTGTAATGGGCAAATAGTGACAACATTACATTAGGATTGAACTATTATAAACGCCATGACTATCCGTAATTTTAAACTATATAATATTTAAAATCTTTTAGAATTAAGTACTTTTACTGAACAAAACAAAAATAGATAAAATGATTTAAAAAGTTCACCTTAATAAGAAAAATTAGCTTAGCACAAATTTACTACGATAGCAAATTTATTCTTTCAAGACACGTACACACACGTACGCACACGTACGCACACACAACACAGACAGACACGCACAAAACAAAAAACAAGATGAGAAATAAAATTACATACTACGGCAATGCTTTGGATAAAATTGAAACTCTCACAATTAAAACGCAGTTGAAGACATGTTCATCTGATCACTATTATCATTACTATTACTAATAAGAGTAGTGTTACTGCTGCATTACTGATACTGATACCAATACTACACTAGTAAAAATAGTAAGATACTAGTAACATGGACAACATCAAAAACATTTTTACCTTTGAAATAAGCAAACAATCGCCTTTACAATTTGCTGAGTTTCAAAGGTTTTCAAACGTTGTGACGAAATGAATAATTGAAATGGTTCATTTAGTGCAATTAAAAAATATTTTTTTTAATTGACAGATTATTGATATCCTAATGGTGCGTGTTCGGCTTAGCAGAAACAAGGTTCGACTGCACAGATATACCGGTTAGTTTTTTTTGTAGTAGTATTAGTATTTGATTAAAAACGAATCATAGTATATTTTTGAGTAGTATTCACTTATTAATTCATAATGTAACGACAACTTAGTTGTTTTTCTTTCATTTTTTCAACAGAAAAATACTTTTTATTGCAGCTAAACATTTTATTCAATGAAAATTCGTATTCAACAACGTTACAGCAATGAAGTTTGCTTCAAAATGTTGGTGTAATGGTTAAGGCGCCTGGTCCTGCTGTTGCGGTGACCGCCTTCAAATGCAAGAAGATTCTCCGCCTATCATCACATGCATCATGTGCGTGTGTGTCTGTGCGTGTGTGTACGTGTTTGTGTGCGTGTGTTTCAAAAATGTTTATAATTAAATGCTAAAGATATAATATAATGATATTAAAATGTTTCGATCTAATGAATATACATGAAAATCACACAAAACACGTTAAAATATTACTGAAACTCGT